AGTGGGTATGAGTCTTTTTCGGTTATACTGTTAAGAGCCCTGAAGTCCACACAGCAACGTTGGGTCCCATCCTGGACTAATACGATGGGAGCTGACCAGGGACTATCTGACTTCTCGACTATCCCTTCCTTAATTAGACCATCCATGACCTTCTCCATTTGTTGTCGCTTCTCTGGTGCTATTCTCCTTAGAGGGATCTTTATTGGACTGTGATTGCCTGTGTTTATTATGTGCTCTACAAGGTCTGTGCACCTTAGGTCATGATCTGCTTTCGAAAAGACGTCTGAATATTTCGCCAAAGGTTCCCTAATCCGAAGAGCCTGTAACGATGGCAAATGGACTATACTCCTCTTATAGAGGTCATTTAAATGTTCTGGGAGAGGATGTCCTTTCTTTATCGTTGTATTTCTTGCCTCAACATTGACTGGCTCTACCTCCTGGCACACACCCAACAATCTTGCATTATGTCCTGTCACACCACAGAGCTTCTGTATGGCTTCTAGTACTCTTTTGTGATCCAGCATCTTGATACTCACAAGGGTTTGCTGGGATGCAGAATCTATGACAAAGTTGCACTTTTGGCCATCCAGCTTTCCTGTCAGGTAGACACTATGTGTGCTTGCCATTTTACACTTAGCTATTGGGACTTTCACAATGGGGTTGGTGGGCGCCCCTCTGCACCAACCACTACTGGTTTCCCCGAAGCTGACTTATTGATAGTATTATTTTTGCACTGGCTCCTCATATGTCCTTGCTCTCCACAGTTCCAACAACCTTTCTGGGTAGCAGACTTTTCTGCCTTGGCATCTTCCCTGTGTTGAAGTTTCCAGCATTGAGCTTTCTTGTGCCCAGGTTTGTTACAGTGCCAGCAAAGTCCTTCAAACTTCTCTGAAAGCTGACCTTTTCTGGCCTTTAATCCTGATGACTGTACCATCCTTGGTACCTATGTGCTGGACTGTACATAGGATTTGAATTCAAGAGCTCTGGCCATTGCATCCTGCATTATAGAGGGGTGTGCTTGCTTTACTTGTATCTTCAGTTGTGGACTGTCCAAAGCATCTACAAACTGATCCCTCAGCAACAACTTGAGGACATTGGGTGGCGCAGTTGGGTAGGACTTGTGTGCCCATACTTTCCAGATCCTATGCCAGCTCTTGCAGGTTCTCCCCTTTAGCAGGGACTCTCGTCCTAAACCTAGGTTTTTAGACTTTGGACTGATTTTGAGTCCTATACCTGAGTTCTAGAGCAGCTACCAGTGCTCTATAGTTGTGCCTGTCTTCTGCTGACAACTGTACAAGTATTTCCAGCGGTTGTCCCTTCAAACTCGTTACCAGATATACTGCTTTCTGCTCCTTTGTCCATCCATTCATTTCTGCCAGGAGCTAAAATTATGCTCTATATGCTTCTCATGGTGCCTTCCCATCGAATTCCTGTGGCTTCCTTCGTTCTAGATCACCCCTATTTCTGACACTCATGTCTGTAATCTGACTTCTGACAGTACTGAAGATGTCTGCATTAGGGTTTAGCCGCTGGGTCTGGAAGGGGCTTGCCATTGTCTGGGGCTGATTAAGTCGATGGCGAATATATCCTCCTTGTGTAAAAGACAGTAAATCATCCTTTAGTGTATTTAATTCACTTTGAAATTTACTAATGTTTTCCATTTGTACTTCTTGCCACTGTTGTTGACTTTCCTGTTTCTTTTCTTGTTCTTGTTTCTTTTCTTTCTCCCTCAACCAATGCTGTAATCTCTCTTCTTGTTTATTTTCTCATTCTTCTTGTTACTTTTGCTGTTTTTGTATTTCTGCTATCAAATCTGCTAAGCTGTAGTTTGATTTGCCACTTCTCGTTTCCATTTTTTTCTTTTCCGTCCTACTCTCTGACACCAATTTGTTACGTCTCTGTTTGTTTGATAATTTTCTGTAAAGATTCTTTCCAAGGAACTTCAGCGATACAAGTCCTTTCTTAGATAAAACTAGTTTATTCTTTTTCGATACAACTTTGCAATACACAGAATTTCCACAGTCAATACGTTTGCAATCTCGATAACAAAACACACACTTTATATTAACGTCACTACGGCTCTTTTGGCTCGATTATCTGTCTTTATATCTATCTATCTGCAATTATTATCTCGCTTTATTTGCCGGGCTTATATACTAAAAAAGAGGGCGTATAGGAAACACTTGGACATTCGCACGGTTCCTCGATCGTTCTAGAAACTCATCACGTGTTACCAGGGTCACGTGACTTCCGCTGTCGTAACAATACGGAAATGAACACACAAAGGTTCTGTCAATTCTGAAGACACTTCCCTTAAATATTTATACATATTTCAAATGGTTTGAATATACTCATTTAGCCATTGGAAGTCAAATTTTAAAGGTATTCCTTCATAGTTTTCTTTTGTTAAAGGACTTGCACTGTAATCTTTCGTTTTATGCTAAAAAGTGATTTCTTTTTATTTTCTAGTGTATTAAAAATATGGTTGGTCTAATAATTATAAAAAGTTTTTGTTGTGTATAATTATCTTGTACCAAGGGTTTATTGTACGATTTTTTCTTTGTTAATTAATTTGTTGATATTGTTACGCCTCCGTTCGTTAGTTAATTTCCCGTATAATTTCTTTCCGATGAATCTTTCGCGACACAAGTCCTTTCTTAAATAAAACTGGTTTATTCTTTCTGAATACAACTTTGCAATATACCTAATTTCAATGGTCACACTATAAGTTAAACAAACGCTATAATTCACAACGAACGAACGTCTCACGTGCTGAACAATACGTCTCTCTCTGTCCGCAGTTCAATTAAACATTACCTTGTTGCCGTCAGTTCTTACCAGTTTATATATACAAGACTACCGCATATCTACTAGGCTCTCGGGATTTCAGGAAGGGACGTGAACGTTCGAGAAGTTCATGACGTGTTACTAGAGTCACGTGACTTCCGCTGTCGTAACAATATACATAGTGTGCGTGCTTTCCTCTGTGTTAAAGGGTATATTTTGTATTCATCTTTCATTGTTAAAATATCTTATTGTTGCGTCAGCGAGGTCACATGACTAGTATCACGCCACTTATTTCTCGAACCTTCGTGAATTGTCGGGAGATTACTAGATTGGGGCTTGTCTGGTATATATAAGATGGTCACAACGTGACGGGACAATGTGTAGGTAATGAGTAATTGAACTGCAATCAGAGAGTGTGTAATTGAGTATTGTCGAGCACGAGCACGTGAGACGTTCTAGCGTTTGTTATAGCACGACTGTTGAAATTGAGTGTATCGGTAAAGTTGTATTCGTAAAGAATAAACCAGTTTTATTTAAGAAAGGACTTGTGTCGCTAAAGTTTCGTCGGAACGAATTTACGGAAAATTAACAAACGAAGACGTAACATTATGATTATGCTTTTGTTTTTTATTGAAGGTCTTTTTAGTATTATTTCTTTGTTTGGAGATATATGATTGTAATTTTATATTGCCCTTTCTTTTGTTGTGACGTCTGTGTAAAGTGTAAATTTTCAGGGTCAGGAAAAAATTAACGCTTTCCTCGACCACAGCACAAAATTAAAAATTTATTGTTTTTAAAATTACATTTAACTGTTGTCTTGAGGATAAGCCAAAAGTAGAGAAAACAGGAAAATGTAGTACATCAATATATCATGCATTTTATCTTCTTGTAATATTAAGATATTTGTTGCAAATTTATTCTATGTTCTGTACATTTGCAGCTTTCACATAATCAGTGTTCGAGAAACATCTTGAAGTTGATTTTGTCCTAGCTTCTTTGTTGTTTTTTTTCACAGGTGGATAATACCTGCTCTGTTTGGGATATTGCTGTATTACTACAAGCCATTTACAATAGTCTCTCTCCTTCAATGGCCATTCAGGTGATGTCTAGAAATTACAGCCCTACCATTTTGTAAGAAGAATGACCACTCACGTGGGTAGTGTTAGTTATTCTTGCGACCAAAGGAATGCTGGATTTATACATGATTTCAACATGACCAGTTCATACAGTAAAAGCTGCTGTCACGTGTAAGTAAAAGCAATTTAACACACCGTTTTGTGTTTTTATTATGGTAATAATTAACTTTGTATTTCACTTTTTTCCAGTCTAATTATTCCGATTAACCCTCATAATTCAGTTAGTAAGATATTTCTTACTATTTCTTTGTGATTAATATTCTGATTTAATCTCTGGTTATTAAGCGGATCTATCCGATAGTTCGAAGATTTACTCAGTTTTATACCACACACATACATAAAACTACTTATAGTAAGACAAAAATTTGTATGACCTTCTCACAAAAATAAAGCGTTGTAAAATATATTAATGGACGACTAAGAACTGTACGAATGCTTACTATATTTTTACTACAAAATAAATATGTTAAAATTATCCTGTCACCACATTTTCTACTAAATTCTCTAAAGCTACAGCATGACATTCCTCACTGCTAGAATATTTTATTAAATACATCTTTATATACTTACAATACGACTAGATTCAGAATTTGAAGTTGTTTTGGCACTTCCCAGTGAGCGAAGAACTGTTAAAGCCGCCGCTAGGTGTTTAAAAGCGTCCGTTTCAGGCCCGCCTCCTGCAACGTCAAATAAATGACGTAATAGCAACATAGCGGAATATGTCTTTCCACTTCCACTCTCACCACTTGAGGATAAAACAGTAAAGGTAAAAATGATTAATATTCCACCTTTAATCGAGCTACGATAATAACTACACTGGTAAATTTAAGAATAAACATGAGATGTTGAGCAATTTCATGCACTAACAGTTTATATAAAAAAAAACACCTAATAATTCATGATGTCAGAAACTCACGTGAAGTATGAATATAAAACGATAAAAACCTTATAACCCTATAACAAGATAAACCCAATATATAACCCTATAACGGTGCAAGATAAAACGCTGACCGGACTATTCTACGCACTGCGTCATCACAAGTGACGCATGCGCTATTAAAGCGCTTGACATGTGATATTGATGGAAAACTTTTCAATTTCTTCTTACGAAATGTGTACTTAGATTACTACAAAAATAACCATTTTAATGAGTAAAACTACAACAAATAGAAAACCTACCTTTATCACAAAACATTTTCACGCATCACAAAATAAAACTCGGTTCAGAAAAAAATCCCCATACACTTTTATCACATTTTTAAATACAATATCCAGGAGAATCTTCATCTACCACCTTAATGAAGAAATACCGAATCGGACGTTTTTAATTCAGGAATATTTGAAAAATTGGACGTTCACTTCGCTACATGAATAGTTTACAAACATTTTTGTGAGTATTTTATTTTACTTAATCACCATATAACATAACCAGAAAAATTAGATAGGTTAATAAAAATAGTTATGTAATATGACTACTAAATGGGATGTATTCATAATAATGATATTGTTACGACAGCAGAAGTCATGTGACTCTAGTAACACGTCATGAGATTCTAGAAGGATAATGTCTGTTCCTGGCAACTCTAGTCTTCTCTACGCGCCCTCTATTTTTGTATATAAGCGCGCCAGACAATGGATCGGGACGAGATAATTGAATAGCAGACAGGGAGATAGAGACGGACAATTGAGTCAAGCGCGGTAGTAAGTAAAGCACGTGAATCGTTCGTTGTGAATTATAGCGTGTGTTGAAGTTAAAGTGACTGTGGAAATGAAGTGTGCACTGAGTGGTCACAAGTAAAAAGACACCTAATTTTTCGTAATTTAATTGATTTATGCTAACTAATTTGTGTTCACAGAGCACTATATAAATGAAAATGGTCTGCACACTAATTATTTTGTGCTACAACATGCCTAGAACTCCAGGTTCTCTCGAATTATCAGATTTTATTAGAGGAAGGATAGTTGGTCAAGCAAATGGTGGAATAAGGCAGGGGCAAATTTTGCAGAATTTG